TCTTCTGGCGGAGTCCGCCACATTGAACCGCCATGTTTCTACAGTAGCCCAGGACAGACAAACCAAACACTGGCTTTAGACAGGGTCTTCTGCAGCGACCACAGTTTCTTGGAAGGCCGAGCTGTATTCAGTTGGTTGCAATCTGCTCCTACACACTGGTCTTTAAATTTAAGTAAGATCTGATCAATAAAATAAGTAAACACGATTATGAATCTGGCCCTGCAAAATGTTGATTCTTTGCAGTTTTTATAGCCAGGTTTATAAAACATCGTATTTATATCGCAGAGTTGAGCGAGTACCCAACAGAAACGAGTATCAGGCGAATAAAACGTATTATTATACTTGTTCTGTAAATAGTTGATGAAAAACATTCCTCTGAGGCTCGATTCTGTAAATAGCTTTCTAATAAATACAGAAACTTCTGATCAACTTGTCTGCTTAATCCCGCCCACTTACAGTTTAAGCCCCGCCTACTCAAGAGAGCAAACACAGATCATTTAGTTGGTTGAAGAGATAATGGTGTAATCCCTAATATTTATATAGTACTAATCTGCAACAGCACATTGCCCAGAGGACATTCAACGCCTCGTCTCCCTCCAATACCGATCCAATACCTAGTCCCTCCAGGAAGCCGCGATCGCAACAATTATCGCAAATTTAACCAAAAACTGGAAGCCATTTAATTCAGTGGAACAAGCTGCTTCTGATTTTTCATGAATTACACCAACAAAAATAAACTCATTCATCTAAAACCGGATCCAATCCTGGAGGGACTGGACACCAGAGAGGGGGAACTTGGTTATGGTTAGGCTGAGATTGTCATCTTGGTTAAATATTGAAAAAGATAAATAAGTGAAATAAGACAGGACGTGTTTTTGTTTTCAATATTTTAATAACTAAAAACCACAATCTTTCCCAAACCATAACCAAGTGTTCCTGTAGCCTAAACTTCCCCCGTTGGGTTTGGACGCCCACCGCTCACCCGACCACCTTCCAATGACTTCTAGAAAAAAACCTGTTGCCACGCAGCGATTATGAGTCCTCCAAAACACTGTAGGCACAAACCTTTAGAAGTATTAGGAGACGAGGTTGGACACCCAGGCCTGGAGCGTCAAAGACATTTTATCTAGTGGACAGTATGAGTGGAAAACATTAGTGTTTTATATTGTGTGAAGATTTTACACGCTCTGTTCTGAGCATCAGGAGGCCACAACTTCAGTCTGAGTGCAGGTTTCTAGTGTTGTACAGTCTCCTTCGGCCTTTGGCGGTTCATTCATCGGGTGGTGCTCTCGCTGGACGTCACCTCCCCTCTCCTCCTTCACAGTCTCTCCCTCTGTGGGTCCACAGTCGTTGGCTGATTGCACCGTTCCCTCCGGGTTCTCCACTGAACCGTTACCCTGCGTCTCCACACAGCTTCTCTTCTTCTCCTCCTCCTCCTCCTCCTTCCTCTGCCTCTCCAGCTCCTCCTCGGTGGCCTGAAGCTGCAGCTGCTGCATCAGCTCCTCCAGCTTGTGGGCTTTGCGCAGCTCGTTCTGCTGGATGATGGCGCAGAGGTGCTCCGTCAGCTGCTCCTTCACCTCCGTCTTCTTGTGCAGGTCCAGCTTGGCCGCCACGTACTCCGTCTCCGCCTTCTCGTAACGCTTTCTGAGAAAATAGGAGAGGAAACTGTAAACAGAAACTAAAGAACAGGCCTGCAACCCTTCTCATTCACACTGTGCCCCGTAGAGAATATCTCACTCACTGTGTGACAGCTCCAGTGTTTCACTTCATTTGGAATATCTGCTGCAACAAATCCTCACATCTGCATCCCTTAACGGTTGATAACATCCACTCTGACACATCGTGCAACATGTTCCTCTGTTAACAGCTGCGTACTGAGTTGCTCTGGAGCTGCAACGATTCGTCAAATAATCGACTGAAAGAAAACTAGTTGCCAACTACTGTGATAATTGTCTGTTTGTCCTTTCTCGAGCAGAAATGTCAAACATTTGCTGGTTTCAGCTTCTTCAATGTGAAGATCTGCTGCTTTTCTTTAGTCTTTTATGACATTAAATGAATAGTCTTTTGGTTTTGGACTGTTAGTTGGACAAAAGAAGACAATTCTACACAATTATTTGACATTTTATAGACTAAATCAGAGGTCAGTAACCTTTATTATCAAAAGAGTCATCACGTTATATTCAGGATTTGTTTCTTTGGAATGAGAGAGAGAATGCAGGTTCATTAGTAAAAGTATATTCTTCCATGTCATAATATATATAAATATATAAGTCTGTAGAGTTTTGGGTACCGAACTGGCACCAGAACTAAACATGTTCGACCTCGGCCCTCAGCGTCTGAATGCAGAAACATTGTTTGAAACAGAACATCCCACGCTGTTTGGAAACACTGCGGTAACTAAACAGATGATGTCAAACATTTCACCTCAGGGTTTTTATGTCGGACCTCAGAGAAATCTCAACAATTGATTAAATCAACATAATCATAACAGAACGCAGTGCGGAGAGTGAGTGAAGGTCAGGTCCTCTTCCCGTTACACAAACATCTGTAACCAAGAGAGTTTGTGACGTGGAGCTGATCTCAATCCACGGGAGGCTGCTCGCAGAAAGCACAGCTACACACACACTTACCGGATCCATGTTGGTTCAAATACACACACATTATACAACATGTTAACACTCATACCTTCTGCTGTGAAAGTGTAATGCTGCACTGATGATGTAATGTTTAGCACATTTGTGAGGGTTTTAGAGATAATCATGGCTCATTAGTCTGTATGTGGAACATCTGAAACTGGTTCAAAGGGTTGAGAGCGTCTGAATACTGGGAACAAGCTGCAGGGGGCAGTGAGAGCATTTACAGTGGATGTACAGTTCATGACCTGCTCACTGTTGCTTTGGTTACAAATTAGGTGAATGAAAGTGAACTGCTGAGAGCTCAGCGGCCTTTAATCTACACACTGATGAAGTGTCCTCGAGCCAGGCGCCCTTTAAATGAGTGGCACTATAAAGTCCTGATAAGTGCAGTGCAGATTATTGTTGTTTCGCCCTCAGTGGAGTTTATAGGAGGGATCTTCAAACTCAGACCAAAGCTGCTCATTTCTGAACCAACAATGTCGACATTAACTCAGTTTGTGGAGTCTTTTTACTTACAGCGGTTATTTATCAGTGTACATTGTTCTGGTGCGAGTTGCTGAGTTTCGGATCCAGCTGCGTTCTCTCCAATGTAACGGAACCAGACTCAGTTTGTGGGTCTCAAAGAAAACACGACCCAGTTCCTCGAGACCGTCCACAGACCTTGTGAGCAGGTTCAGTAAGGAACTATTTTCTTTCTACGTATCACCGTGCAGAAGGAAGAGTGCGTCTACTCTTGGACGAGAGGCTTGTGATAGTGCAGGGTGTAATAAAAATAATAATAATAATAATAATAATAATAACAATAATCTTAATTTATACAGAACTTTTCAAAACAAAGTTACAAAGTGCCTTACGTGGCCGGAACCAGCATTAAAAACATTTCCAGAGGCAAAACAATTATATAGAATAAAAGTAAATCCGTCACTAACAAATAAAAACTGCTTAAAATATACAAATTAAAAGAATAAAATACCCATTGCTAATATATGATAAGAACAATAACTCTAATAAAATCTGAGACGTTAAACTGTGTCCTAAAATTGAATAAAAGGATTTTTTTAAAGATGTTTTAAGAAGTGATTTAAAAGACGACACAGATTCAGTAAACATGAGCTGTAACGTTCAGCTACAGTCGGTGGGTGGTGGTCTCAACAAGGTCTGTCTCCAAAACTCACAGCACAACTCTCTGGATGGATAAATAGCACTACAATGCACTGTGTGATTTTGGGCTGTCCCAGACAACAGTTCACAACTGAGAGGGAAATGTGGTGAAATCTTATTTGTTGGTCCAAACCGGGGCTCCTGGATCTGCAGACCAAAGGCAGCCTGCGTCTAACTTCTGACAACAGAACCAAACAATCAGAACACAACGTGAAATGACTCATATGAATGATGGGAGGTGATGTTGTGTCTCTGCTTGCATATTTGTGTATATTGACATTGTAGGGAAACAGTTCACTGCACAGAACTAGATGTATGTCATTAGAGCCATCAGTGAGACACAGTGAACCTGCGAGCTGGAGGGTTATTACATATAGAGCTGTTACTCTGCAGAAGTTCAGTAGAAGCGTGTTTTCTCACACTCTGACACTTAATTTGGCGGCCAGGGGAAACAGGTGTTTTGGGATCTGTCCTGTGTACTTGTTTGTAATTTCTTATTGTCTCGGGTTGTCTCTGTACCTGGCAGCGGAGTACTCCCAGCTGGCGTGCTCTATTTTGCCTCTCAGGATGCCGATATCATTGGACACCATGTCGTCGAGGGCCTGGAGCTCCTTCTGGATCCTCTTCAGCTTCACGGCCTCTGCCTGAGTCTGTTTGGACCTGTGGACGAGACAGAACTCAGCTTACGACCACAGTAACTTCATGGGTTCTGGCCGCTGTTCCCATCTGTCACTGACACCACGGCGGCAGCAGCACAGCCGTACTCACTTCTCAGCGATAGTTTTTGTTAGCAGAGCTTTCTTGCGCTTATTCCTCTCTTCGATCGTCTTTTGCTCCTGCTGCAGCTGCTCCAGACGCGTCTTCTCCCGCCTGTGGTCAAACAGAGAATTATACACACAAACAATACATATCAAACTCTACAACCCAAAGATATCCAGTTTACTGTCATAGAGGAGCAAAGCAAGCAGAAAATATTCACATCTGAGAGGCTGAAATCAGTTTTTACTAGAAATGACTTAAATTATCAAAATAGTTAGCTACTAATTTAATAGTTGCTACGATTCAGTTTCAGCTTTATTACCACCGGTGGGTTACGCCTGAAGCTGAGCAGTGAACGTTATTAGTGTTAACAGTAGAGCTGAGAGAGTGTGTGTGTGTGTGTACATGTG